TTCTTCGGTGTATCTGGCGTATTATACAGAGTGAGGCATAAATATCTTCCACGCGTTGTTTTCATTTAGCTAATGTTTGGCCATTACGTAGGAGGTGTATGTCTGTGACGTGTAAGTCGGACATATTTTCTGCTGCAACCTGCATATTCAGATTTGTTTTTTACAACAACACAATATTCGTTTTAAAACTGATTCTTTGATCGCTGGTATTTTTTCATCTGTATCAAATTTTGTAGTTTGCAAAAAAAGCCAATAGCAGAAAGTATGTTTTCATTCTGAAACCTGAAATGCAAAAAATATTAAAGAAAAAAAAACTGTCCAATTCCATTTTAGCTTTCGCTTCTTGACAGGATTCGAATTAAATTTTCTAGAGAGAACGAGAAGGCGAAAGATAGAAACGAATGAAATAAAACAATCAACAACAACAACAAAAAGACCGAAGAAAACAAGAAAAAATAGATTTTTTTTATTTCATTTTTTTTCTCTGGTTCAAAAACAAAAAATAATACGAGTTTTATTTTAGAATGTGAAGTGTATTCAGTAAAAAAAAAAAATTACCTGACGAAACCGTAATGTATGTCATTTTGAAGTGAAGCAATGGAAAGCGGAACAGGTATAAAATATTTACAAAAATAAAGGGACAGAAAGAATATCGTTAGAAACAAAGAAAAACATTACTGAACTGTTACATAATATCAGTTCTCCTATATGGCAATGAATGCTGGACAATCTCCTCACAGATGAAGAAGAGACTTGAAGCAACAGAAATATGGTTGTACAGGAGGATGCTGAGATTATCATGGACCGAATAGGTGAGAATAGTTTTAGAGAAAATAGAAACGAAAAAGAAACATATTTAATATCGCCTGCATACAGACAGAAAGTGAGTTCAGCAGATACACAAAAATAGAATGGAGTGTAAGACAAGGATGTGTCTTCTCACCGGACTTATTCAACCTCTACAACGAGGCGATTCTGAGAAAATTAGAAATCCTACCAGGATATATTATTAACGGCCACAATCTTAACAACATAAGGTATGCAGATGACACTGTTGATACCAGACACAGAAAGGAAACTACAAAAACTCCTAAAGGAGGCAATGAAGGTGTCATACCTGAACGTACCTATTCTATTATTAATAGACTCTCCCACACATAATAAGTAGTAGTAGTTGTAGCGGTCGCCAGTTGAGCTCAGTGGAGTTGAGTGAGTCTGTCGGACATTGAAGTATCAACCATCACAACTAGATTGCTGCGTCATTAATTATTATTGCAAGTTCCTAACGTTTTGTACGTCGGACCTTTTTTAGGACCGACTTATTGAAATACAAGTCTCCACTGTAAAAACTACTTTACAACAGAAGGAAAGCGAGAAGAAAGTATTAAATATCAATTGCAAAAAGATAGAATGCATGGTTGTTAACAACAGGTATGAATTGCAAATCACAGATACGAAAATGAAACAAGTGCGGGAATTTAAATATCTGGGAAGTGTTTTAACAAAAAACGAAAACTGCGACACTGAAATCCGAAGGCTCATTGGGATAACGAAAAATGCTTTCCAAAAGCTAAGCAGAGTATTAAGAAACATAAAAATTTCGTTAGAAACATGCAAAAAAGTGTATTGATCTGTTATGCAACATCAGTCCTCCTGGATGGACAATATCTTCACAGATGAAGAAGAGACTTGAACTAACAGAAATGTGGTTCTACAGAAGGATGCTGAGGATAATATGAACTGAACATGTGAGCACGACGAAGTTTTTGGGGAAAATGGAAGCAAAAAAGGTAATTGATATTTCTAGGGCACATGGACTGAACATGGGAGCAACGACAATATTTTAGAAAAAATGGAAACAAAAAAGAAACCTATACTTAACATCAGGAAGATATAGTTGAAATTTCTGGGACACATAATGAGGAAAGAGGGCTTGGAAAATTTGATACTCACAGCACATATTGAATGTAAGAGGGACAAAATAAAACAACATATATATATATATATATATATATATTATCACTAAGTTTGAATTCGGTATGTATATACCTGGTGTAAGAACAATGTTGTCTAAGTAATGTTACACGATAATTTTCCATCCCACAAAATGCTTAACATCTAAAAAACACTAAACTAATTGAGTTTTTTCCAGGTTTTCAGATAGGACGTTTCGCCATCTTGATACCTTTTGTCGTAAGAATCACTGAGAAACCCTTTAAGTTATTAAGCTAAAAAGAGAGCAGGTTAAGATTGTTTTGTGTCAGACCCACTGTCTTCTCAACTGAGCAATGGTGAGAGGAGAAAGATCATTCAGGCCTTTAATAATGGTACTAATATTAATACTCTGGCTAATATACTCTTTAAAGTCTATTCAAGAAGCATCAAGAGAACGGTGAATAAGTTTAACAAAAGAGGGAACAGTAGAAAGGAAAACTGGATCAGGAGGTCACAAGAAGAAAAGGGATCATCATTTCAACTTAGAGCTAAAGAGACCAATTAGAAAGATAACAAATAGAGCCACAAAGCACAGGAAATAGTGGAGAGTCATAATCACCAACATCATGAAGGGACGTGATACAGAGATGATGAAAAATAATAGTTTGAATTATTTACGCCAAAAGGTCTCTGTTCTTCTTTTGTCAAACACTTTTCGAGATGATTGCTATTTTTCTCAGATCTTTCATATATTTTTTTAACTTCAGCTTATTAAGATGCCTTCTAAAACCTAAGCAAAGTATGAAGAGACAGGAAATTTTCGTTAGAAACAAAAGAAAATAGGGCTGAACAACTATGTAATATCAATCCTCCTATCGGACAGAAGATGTTCGACAATCTCCAAACAGATGAAGAGAATTGAGGCAATAGAAATGAGGTTCCACAGAAAGATACTGAGCATACTATAGACGGCGCACATGTGTAACGAGGAACTTTTAAAAGAAAACACCTGTGTTGAGAATTAGAGAGAGACAGTTGAAATGCGGAAAGAGGGCTTGGAGAATTTAACACTCACAAGACATACTGAAAGATAGATTGTGTCGCGCCAATCTTCAAAGGGGAAAGAGCACAATTGTTGTTTTTTTTTTAATCCCGACTTTCGCAGGAAATTGGACGCCGACTATCGGCTCAATTATTTCACTTAAGAAGCACCACTATCTAGTAATCCTAATCGGGGATCAAGTGAGAAAGAGAGAGTTCTTTCAGTTATTCAACAGTCCAGTATTCTCGCTAGATGAAAAATGGTTTTTTGCTATTTTCTTTAATTCTTCTTCGTCCGACCACGCACAAAATACGGACTCTTTTTCGAGGTAGATGATTTTCTCTTTCGCTACACTATCAAGTCCCATCATTTTTCAAACATACGCAAGAATCTCATATCTATAAGCAGGAATTTGGAAGATCATGTTGCGCCAATGTTTCAATTATGAAAAGGTTTTAAAACAGTATTGGAACTCCTGTTTGTTTTCTAACGGTAATTACTCACTATTATCATTGGCATGAAATATTCAACACTTTCAGCCACAAGGTAGATTATAGGTAGATTTGATTGCGCCAATCAGCGCGTTTTAATCTTAATAAGCGCGTATAATTGTTATAAATATACTTGTTTGTGTGGAAGAAATCATTTACAAAAAACGGTGACGCAAAGACCGGAAGTTTGTTATGCTATGTTAACCATTTTTCTGGATTGGCTTTAAATCCATTTCCGTTTGATATGAGGGAAATCTTGACTAATTTATGGCGTGTCAATATTTATTCTAAATGTTTTGGTTCAGGTCTCCCAGGATACGACCATCTTAAAAAACAATTTCGGATACAGTTGGATTTAAACATAACATTAAACTTCGGTTTTGACTTAAACATCAACGACCACACTGTCAATTTATATCTGGCTGCTGATGCGTGACTCTTTAGGAACGAGATTTTGCGAGAATTCATTTTTTTCATTTTTTTTCTATTTTCAAAGCAATGAATGGAAGACGTGGTAACTGGGTCCACCTCACTGAATTGGTTTTATAAGATGCATGACGGATGCTGATGGCAGACAGAACCACCCCGCTAAAAAAAAAAAACTGCTGTAACTCCCAAAGGAAAACGGGAAGAATGGACAAAGAATAAACTGGAAGATGACAGAATGTATAGTTCTCAGAGGAAGAGCTCCCATTTTTTGTAAAAAACAAGTGAAGTGAACTAATTGATAATATCAGTCCTCCAATATGGCCGTAAAGGATGAATAATTACCTCACAAATGAAGAAAAGACGAGAAGGATGCCGAGAATAACATGGATTAATCATGAGGAACGTTTAAGGAAAATGGAAAGAAAAACGATGTTTATTCTTACAATCAAAAATAGACAACTGAAATGTTTGGACACATGATAAGGAAAAAGGACTTGGAGAATTTGACGCTCACAAGACATACTGAAAGCTAAAAAAGAAACAGCGTGTAAGCTGCGTAATAAGCTTCTGTAACAGAAAAAAGGTGTGAATCCTCTACTTCTCCCACCCTGCTATGGGTAAATAGAAGGATAGATCGGGTTCTATAGCCTTGGATGGCAACTGGTCTACTGCAGAAAGAAATGACAACCTACTGCGGGAAAAATTTGCCTCGTCAGTCATGTATCGAAATATACATGATCGCCTAAGCGTGTATCACGCATGGCACATAACTGAAATGGATAGCAGAACAGGGAGATGGAGGGAAATTAAGGAGATATACACTGCTTACAGATACAAATGAGAAGAAGTTGTGGAGTGCCATGATCACCTACCTAACAAGCTTCTGTATAAGGAAAAATTCTTAAAATTTTTGTTTATAATGAAGTACTATTAATTAAATTAAAGAAATTATTTAACCACAGAGTAGAGTTTTTGTCAAAGTATTTTTTCAAACAATTCAGCAGATTCAAATTACATTGATTGATTTGCGCCATTGAACGAAATGTAAAGTTTGTAAATCTCGACGAAAATGTTAGCGATAATTTCAACAATACTAAATACTG